AATGTTAAATTATGGTTAAAAATGAATGCTGGTGTTGAATGATTGTGGGTAAAAAAGCACTAAGCAGATAGAGCAAGACAAAAGCTTCTCTCTTCATTCTCCTCCATACACATGAGGTTTATTTTTACTGACAACACTTGATATATCAGGATTATGCATTGGTTTTTGCTTGTGGTTGATCATGTATGAATTTGACTTTCAGGTTAGACTGGGGTAGAGGGGGCAGGAGAAGTCTCAAAGGATATGAAGTGCAGGAGTAGAAAAGATCAGATGGCCAAGTCAAAGAGCAAGCCCATGCTGTTGAACCTCAAATTCTAGTTCTCACTCTGCCACTAATGTGTGTGATCTTAGGCAAGTCACTTTACCTCTCTGAGCTTCATTTTTTCTGTGATAATAATTTTGACACTTTGGACTTCACAGGAGGTCAGCTGAGCTCATAACTGGGAAGGTACTTTGGACAAAGGAATTTAGGGCCTTGTTTATAGGCAGAAAGGTGGCTCAGGTCACCAAGCCAGGTAGATCAGCTTTCTGCTTTAAGATTCAAACATGACTTGGATGAAAAGTGGGAAGGCTGAGTTCCTAGAATCATAGACTATTAGAGCCAGCAGGTATCTTAGAAGCCATTCTAGTCCAACCCCTTCATTTTATCTGAATACACTGAAACAGAGAGAGATGATTCTCCCCAAGGTCTGTCTGAACGGAGCCTGGATTCCAGGTTTCCTTTTCATGTGCTCTGCAAGGCTCCTCTTAAAAAGCAAAGCTCATTTGCTCTTGTTACTGTTTGGAGACAAGAAGCCTCTGGCCTGTGTCCCAGCAAGAAAATGATCAGGACATTTGTGTGAAGCTTTTTGAGATTCTAAAATTCGACACAGTGTTTCAGTTCAATTATTGCTTGAACTGAACTCTATGGGGACAACAATCTCCTAGTATTTGTCTACTACCTACTATCTTTACCAATCTGCTAGGTGCTGTGGGGGGTTTAGAAAAAATTAAGAACCATTCCCTGCTGTCAAAGAGCTGAGTGTGGGAGACAGGACTAACAATGAGAGAACAATGGAAGGCAGTATGTGATTCAGAATAGAATGAGTAGTGCAGGCAATAACTGCTATAGAAGTTCAGAGGAGGCAGAGAGCTCTGGGAACTGGGGGTGGGGTTTAGGAGACTGCAGTTTCACTTGGGGTTAGAAGGATGGGTAGGACTGTTTATACAGATGTGGGGGAGGGCACTGAATTTGAGTGTGAATGTATGTGCATGCATGAGCAGATGCAGAGCTGGGTAAAATAATGGGTAGCATTACTGAGTACTTTCTATGCACCAGATACTACATACCGTTCTATATAATTCAACTTACTTAAATGTGAATAATCCTAGGAATTGAACAGTAGATCATTAACAACCCTTCATTTAATACATAGAAATTGAGGTACAGAGAGGCTGAATAAATTGCAGCAAGTAAAAGACATAAATTGAATTATAAAAACACTTGGTGATTCTACCTATGAAAAAAGAATAATTTGTGGCTCAGATGAGAAAGTCGGCCTGGCTACAGTCATTTAAAGACAGTCATTTTGCAAAAACAAGGACTTGATAGGCCAAATTCCCAACTGAAGTTCAGCATGGAAATTGGAGGGATTAATGAAGCCATTTATTGAGTTGGTCTAGCCCAGTGGTTCTCAACCTTCCTAATGCCGGGACCCTTTAATATAGTTCTTCATGTTGTAGTGACCCCCAACCATAAAATTATTTTCGTTGCTACTTCATAACTGTAATTTTGCTACTGTTATGAATCATAATGTAAATATCTGATATGCAGGATGTATTTAGGTGATCCCTGTGAAAGTGTCGTTCGACCCCCAAAGGGGTCGCGACCCACAGGTTGAGAGTCGCTAGACTCTATCCTGTTAACCTAAAATAAAAGGCCAAAGTGAGAGAAACAAGCATTTATTTGAGATTCAAAAGAATAGCTATTCGGGAAGCACTGATTCTGGCAGTTATTCAAATAGCATTCGGAATAGGAGGTGAAGGGGGGCATTTATGAGAAAGGGAACAATTACAGGAATAAAAGGAAGGCATTTCTATAAGTGAAGATAAGCTAAAATAGTGATACTAATTCTAAAGAAGGTCTTTAATTTTCAATCCCATGGTCATAAATGTCTGCTTTCTTGTTATCTTTGCAAACAGTTGCTTGGAATACAGTGGGGCCTTGACTTACAATTGTTCCGACTAACGAGTTTTTCAAGATATGAGCCGCCTCTCGGCCGATTTTTTGCTTTGAGTTGCGAGCTAAAATTCGGGTTATGAGCCAGCTTCAGATACCCCACCGCTAGTTGGTGCAGCGAACGTCACAGTGAACGCCACAACATCAGCCCAGCATCACGTGTCTCACTCGTTCACTTTTTGATTTGACATACGAGTAATTGGAGTTACGAGCTCCGTCATGGAACGAATTAAACTCGTAAGTCAAGGCCCCACTGTATAATGCTGCTTTAGGTCCAGTCAAAGGTTATTTTGCCCAGTTTTATCATTCCAAAAGTTTGAAGAGTAAGATATGAAAGGCAGCTCCTCGGAATGGAAGCTCCAACTCCATTTTAAAGTGGCTCCATTTAGCCCTTGCCAGGTAATTCAGTTGGTTATAGAGCATTGTCTCATACACCAAGGTTGTAGGTTTGAACTCCAATCAAGGCACATACAAGAATCAACCAATGAATGCATAAATAAGTAGAACAACAAATTGATGATTCTCTCTCAAATCAGTAAATAAAAACTAAAAAATAAAGTGGTTCCATTTATATTACTTTTCACACCTCATTCTTGTTTACTTCAACATAGGAACTTGAGGTCTCCGGATGCTGCATGTTATTGCCAGGAGCTCCACAGCTTTATCCTTAATGTTTCTGGTTATGTTGCAGAGGATTTAACACAACACCTAAGGGGAATGAATAAGAGAGCCTCTGAATCATTGCTTGTTTGTGGTTGTTCTTTATTTATATATTTTTTAAAAGATTTAAATCCTCACCTGAGGATATTTTCCCATTGCTTTTAAATAGAGTGGAAGGGAGGGGGAGAAGGAAGGGGAGAGGAGAGAGAGAGAGAGAGAGAGAGAGAGAGAGAGAGAGAGAGAGAGAGAAAGAGATTGGTTGCCTCCCGCACATATGCCCCTGACCAGGAATCAAACCCCCAACCTGTGTGCAGGCCTACTCTGTACACTGAGCCAGGGCGTGGTTGTTCTTTATTAATTAGCATTTGAAGAGCATCCAGCCTATGGTAGATTCTGTACAAAAGCTTGGAATTAGACCAGGCTACCTGGCTCTGAGGCTATAACCAAACTTAGAAAGGATGGGAGGACAATGGCCTGATAATACAGCAGATTTTATTTTATATTTTGAGTCTGGCTTGCAGCCAACACCCCAAAGTGTTTCCTAGGCAAGGTACCTTGCTGTGTTTTTCTGGATATTCTCCTAACTCATTGTAAGTCTTCAATGAATATTAAATCAACATGAGGTAGAGTTTAAGAAGATCCTTTTCCTGTTTCTTTTTCCCAAGAAAAGCAAGCCATAGACTATGGGTAGAAAGCAGCAGGTGAGAGAGGGTCCTGTTTCAATCAGATGTCCTTACCAATTCTTGGGCCCCTCCCACACCCACATTGTCCTGGCTGGCCTTTCAGTGTCAGGAATCTTCACCAAGTGCCAAGTGTATTACAGTTTGGAAAGCAGCTGCTACCTTCCAAGGAGGAAGGAGTGAAAGAGGTCAGGGGAATTTTCTTTTGGTCCAGCAAGTCTCCTCTGATTGAAGGCATTATAGGAGAAAGGGGAGACTGTGCGCCTGGAGAGGGAGTGGCAGAGGTGGGCTGTGCAGCCCAGGGTAAAGTGAGAGAAATACCAGATCCAAGCAGGAGGGGGAAGAGCAGGGAAAAGAAGGACTAGAAGCCCGTGTCCTAGGCACTGAAGTGTGAGGAGTGGGGCTGTAGCTAGAGATGAAGCTGCCATCCTGGTCCTGCACTATCCTAGGGCAAAAAGGAGTCTACTATTTCAGTGCAAAAAGGAGGAGACTCCAGGAGAAGGCCAGACCCAGCCAACACTCCAAAGGAAAGCTGGCCCAGCTACTCAGCACTAGACTTCAGCCCCTGGAGAACTTAAGGGGGGGGGCGGCTAAGTGCCTACTAAGTACCCAGTGCCCAGAGACGTGCCGGGAGAAGCTAGTCGCAGGATGTGGAGTCAGTCAAAAGGCTTCACAGAAGGAGGCGCCTTCAGCACCCTTTGGGGAAGGAAGGTGGATGTGCCCGCTTGCAGGCTCCAAGAGTGCAGAATACGAGGCAGGCCAAGGAAGGAGGGGAAGGAGGCGGAGATTGAGCCCGGAGGAAGAAGAGGGGAGGGAGAGCCGACCAGAAGCAAGGTGGGAGGTGTGACTGGGGGTGGCGGTGGCGGGTGCGAGGGGGCCCGAGGAGGGAAGGAGGCGAGGCGGGGGAGTCGTGGCCAGCGAGCGTGGAGGACTGGGGGGCGCGAGGCTGAGCAGTACCGGAGGAGGCAGCGGCAGCGAGGGGGAGGAGAGAGAGGGGAAGAAGGAGGAAGCGAGCGCAGCGGCTGCAGGGGGAGGAAGACGGGAGGAGGAGCCGTGCGCGGCGGCGGCGGCGGCGGCGGCGGCCGCCCGGGAAGCCGAGCGCCGGGGCGCAGGGAACTCGGGAGCCGAGAGGTGGCCCGAGCCGGGGCCGCGGGCCGAGCTGCCGGTGAGTGGAGCCCCAAGGTCCGCGGCTGCCGGTTCCTGGGGCCGGGCGGGAGGCGCGGGAAGATGCGGCGCCTGGTTGGAGGGAGGGGGCCGGTTGTAGCCCAGCCCCTGGCCGGCCCGGCCTCCCTCCTACCTCTCTCCCTCCCTCCCTCTTTCCCTGCCGGCTTCCTCCCGCCGCTGCCCGCGCGAAGGGGCTGGTCCCGGGCGGGCCGCGGGCTGGGGGAGGTGCTGCCCGGAGGGCGGGAGCCGGGGGTGGAGTTGGGGGCTTGGGGGTGTACCCGGGGGCGGGAGGCTGGACCCGGAGGGCTCTAAATTGGCCGGAGGAACCCGACCGCGGCGAAGTTGCTAGCTGGGGGCAGAGAAGGCCACGCGGTTGCCGGAGTAAGCGATCCCCTGTGGCGAGTGTGTGAAAGGAGGAGTCCGGCGTCCCTGGCGTCCCTGCCATCCCTGTCGCCCTCCCCGCCTGCCCAGCCCCGCTAGCTCCTCTCCTGGCCTCCGCGTGTTCCCTCGCTCTCACCCCCGTCACCCCCTGGTTCGCTCCCGAGGCACTGCGGGGTCCCCTCGGCCCCGAACCTCTCGGTCTCTGACTTGCCCTGACCCCTGCTTGCTTCGCCACTGCCCCGGTTCCCCTTTTCTTCCCTCGCTAGTTACCCTTCCCCGCTTCGTAATTCCCGATGCAATTGCCTCTTTGAGACCTTTTTTTTTTCCTCTCCTTCCTTTTAGATTGGCCAACGGCTCGTTTCAACCCTGCCTCGTTGGTGGCCACTGGAGAAGCGCGGGGGGCTCCCCAGACAGCCGTGGGGACAAGTTAGAGCCAGCACTTTGCCCCGGGCCTCGCGTGTAGCTTCCCCTCCCCTGCTCTCGGTGCCCCGGTGTCTGGGGTGTCTGGAGGGGAGTGCGGGTGTGCGGGTGTGCCCTCCGTACATGTCCCACCACCCGGGCAACTCTCTGGGCTTGTGTTCCATCTCACTCTTGCTTCCCGCACGGTGGTCGAGGGGAGCCACTTTGCATCATGTCCCGGTATAGCTACCAAACTCTTCTGGACTGGCTCTATGGGGGCGTGGACCCCAGCTTTGCAGGCAATGGGGGCCCCGACTGTGCTGCCTTCCTCTCTTGGCAGCAGCGGCTGCTGGAAAGTGTGGTGGTCCTGACCCTGGCCCTGTTGGAGATCCTGGTGGCCCTGCGGCACATCCTGAGGCAGACGAAGGAGGACGGTAGGGGTGACCATGGCTGCCAGCCAGAGCAGGTGACCCAGCGGCCAGAGGAAGGCAAGGAGAGCCTGAGCAAGAATCTGCTCTTAGTAGCCCTGTGCCTGACCTTCGGGGTGGAGGTGGGCTTTAAGTTCGCCACCAAGACCGTCATCTACCTGCTCAACCCCTGTCACCTGGTCACCATGATGCATGTGAGTTTGTTGACTTTTTCCTGGGCAGCCTTAGTGATAAGAGTCATTAGTGTGCTCAGGACACTCGGCCGTGTACAGCACCTCATCCCTTCGGGAAGTGGGACCTTTAAAACTGATTTTCCAAAGATCTGTTTTTGTGCATATTTCAGACTGGCTTTCTTTCACCTTTGCACAATGCATCAGCCTCACAGTGGAGGGAAGGAACGTAGCACCAGAACCCACTGGCACTCAGGCTGGCTGCCTGTCCCTCCCAGCCCTGCTGGGGCCTTTCACAAGCAGGAAGTCCAGCCCCAGCCAGGTGCCCTTTCTGAATCACATCTGGAGACCTGGCCCAGCCCCCATGCTCTCTGTCACAGTTAATCCCCAGAGGCCTGGTGACATTCTTTACTGGAGGTGGTTAAATAAGGTTCCTTGTCTCTACTAGGGTACTTTGGGGAAATACTTTTACAGGTTTCCCTTAATTATTCTTTCATTTGGGAGTTTGTACTCTTAGGGTGAGGTCTGCTTTTGAATTCTGAGGGTTTGGAGCAGCACCAAGCTCCTACTAAGTGCTCTCTGAAACAGGCCCCAGGCTGACTCGAGAACATTGGGCTGGTGATTTCTATTCTGGTGAAAGGGTATTTATTTTTTTTTGCAAACCTCTTTATCTTATCCTTCTTATCCTATTGTCTGTGGTCTTGGTCCAGGGACACTCAGAGAGCTGATTTCTTTACCTCCTATTAGCTGTATTAAGAAAAACAAACTGGATTAAAAAGGAAAGTGTCAGATACATAAAAATAATCTGGTTGAAGACCAAGAGTGAGAATATCTTTCTGTACTCAGCCTGTGTGAAGAGATGTTATGAAACTATAAAATCACAGAGGAGAAGGAAGAGGAGAAAGGGAAACAAATCCTTTGTAAATTTCGGGCTGTGGAAAACTTGGTATGTTTTATTCAGAAACAGTTTTGAAGCCTGTCATTAGAATCTTTATTGCATTTGTATTTGTAGGTTATTCTCAGGAGACTTGTGACAGCCCTATATGGGGCAGGAGGTTAAGGTTAAGATTATTATCTCCATTTTACAGGCTTGTGGAGTGACTAGGGATAGGGTGGTCACTTGCCTGCAGCCAAAAGGTGAATTATCCTCTGGGTTGGTCTTTGGGATGGCAAGCTGGCAGTGAAATAGGGCAGTCTTTGTGGGGAGGCTGAGGCTGATCAGCATGACAATGCCTACTTGAGGCTCACTAGCTGGTTACCTCTTTGTTCTAGGAGCTCCTTGATTGCAGGTCCTTGGCCTCAGTTTTCCTATCTGTAAAATGTGGTAAATGGCCTCAAGCCCTTCCCATTTTGCAGGTGTGGCAAAGAGGTGCAGATAGCTTTGTAATAAAGAGGCTGTTATTGATTGGGTGGCTTTCATCATTGAGCAGGGCTGGAGGGGGCAACTTTTTTTTTTATGAGAAAAGGCTTCTTGGGAAGTGCTGCTATTCACAGGAAGCCCAGGGCTCTCCCAGCTAGACCTTCTGTGTAAATTTGAGCCAGTCCTCTTTCTTTTTTTTCTTTCTTTCTTCTTCTTCTTCTTTTTAAAATTTATTTATGAATGGCCTGTTTGTTAATGAGAGGAAACAACGCATCTCAGCCACTGCTGCAAGAGGCTCTTGGGACAGGAGTGCTTTTTTTTGGACGGCAGGTGGTGAAGGTCAGAGGGTACCTCTTCCACAAAAGGGTCTTGAGGCCTCTGGCAGCCACATATCTAGAAGGTCAACAAAGGACTAAATTCAGCCCGACTGGGGCTGCTGCTGGTTTGATGATGTCAAACCTGGCAGTATGGTTTTTAGTGGAAAGGTTTTTAGAGGCTTTTAGAAGGGTCTGGAGATTTAGTTCTGGCATTAATTAGTTGTGTGACTGGGGAGAGTATTCTTCCTGGACCTTAGTTTGCCCATCTGCAAAATGAGACAATTTTTACTCCTAGCTGTTGACAGCCTATGTTCTGTGGTCCTTTTCTCTATTAAGCAGTGGCTGTGGGATGCAACAGATAGCTAACTATTCTAGAAATGCTTTTGGCCTCCATGGTTGGAAAAAGGAAACTAAGTCAGATGGACTTGTTCATCTTTTCATCCTCATTCATCTGTTGCTGCTACCTCCGTCTCCCCAGTAAAGTCAACCTGACCCGGTCACCCTTGGGGATATGTGTAGATGATGGCACTTAGAGCTGGTTGCTGCAGAGAGATGGATGTTTGGGGGAGTATGGACTGATTCCTGTCACCTGTGCATTTTCTATTGCCCTGGGCTTAGCTCAAGCTCTGAACAGAGTCATGCTGAGGAAGACTTGGGCCCACCTTGGAGTAGACTCCTCTGTCCTTTACTCTTAAGTCACTGCTTTGTGTCATTTAAATAGTAACCTCTGGCCTACCAGGGGACCTAGTCTTTGATGACTCCAATGTTCCATACCCTACCTATGGTTCTTCCTGGGAAGCATGAATGTGTGTATCTTAAAAACTTATATAAAGTCCTTTAAAAAACTCACAACAGATGGTTGGAAGCAGTTTGCTGACTTGGTTGCAGCAATGACTAATGATAGTAAGTATGGTTAATATTACCTTACATTTATCTAGCACTTTACTGTTTATTTTAAGGCACTTTCACATAACTTGATTTATTTAGGGTTATGATAGAATAACTTGGACCTGGAGAAAGAGATGTTAAAATGTTTCCCGTGACTGTGTATATTCCAAAGGGAGAGGTTGAGTACAAAGAAATACTTTGGCAAAATGAATTAGCTGAATTAATCTATATTTTGGCAGTAAATTATATGGAGTTCAAAGGTCCTGATTAGGGAGGGGAGACATTAGCTGAAATAAAAGGGAGAGCTTAGCAGAAACATTTCTGATGTGTGTCTCGCAACAGGATGACTAAATTTTAGCTTTGTAGAAAGACCTTGTTCCTCAGTGAGTGCAAGTTTGTCTATAAAGGATGGTATTGCTTTAGGCCAGGAAATAGAAGAGTTAGAGAGAAGTTGGTTAGTCACCTCATCTCCCATTTTGCAATTTATAAAATATGTATTCCCAAAACCTCGTTACACACATCCTCCTCTTGGCCACATTGCCAACTTTAGAAGCATAAGGAAGGCAGTTTTTGTGCTTGAGTCTGGTCTTGATTATTACTCCTGGTGTCAAGTTTCTTTTTGGTCTTGTCTGATTTCTCAAAGGCCCTGGGACTGTGGACTGATAGAGGTTTACTAATATATGATTGAAGCAGCACCATCTCACATTCTCAGGATCAGCAAAGCAGCACCATCCTTAAACTCCTTGCTGAATAGCAGTGGCATTTACCAATCACACCAATAAGTATTTCTTCAAGCATAGCTAGTCCCTTTGTGCATATTATTTTGGCAGGTGTGGGTGACAGGAAATGAATTTACTGAGTGATTACGCTGTTTACTAAAAATCACCCAGCCACGTTAGTGGCAGAGGTGGCTTAAGAACTGAGCTGCCACAGTGGCAAGCTGGCTTTAGCAGGAAGAGATTCTCATAGCTATTTAAACCCCCAAACCTACAATTTCTCAGCAGAAGGGTTAAAATGTCCTTGATTGATTGTATCTGTAAAGACCAGTTATCCTAAATTAGTGGCCCTTTATTTCCCTTGCATAAGTTATATTGTCTCTGCTTCAGAAACTTAACAGAAAGATCCCATTCGGAATGTCTTATCCAATTGTCCAATTGCTGTTGGCTCTGTATGTGTCTGTGTCAACATCTCCTGATGGGACCCTGAACTTAGGCACAATAAATGCCATTTAGTCCTCAGTGTTATATGTACATAAGGCAAGCTGGATCCAGGCTGGACATTTGGCAAATAATTGATGCTATGATCCCCATAGCCCCAAGCCACTGTTTTTTAGCCAGTAATACTGAGTGCACCCCATTCTTTTTTGGAGTTGCCATTTGCTATTTGATTTCATGTCTTCTTTACAATATATTAGAAATCTGATTTCCTCCAAATATAGCTTACCTGCTTCTGGTTCACCTTTTGATTTGCTTACTTCTTCCTCCTTGCTGAAAGTATAGAATGGCACATACTCAAAACAGTTCTGAGCTTTTTTGTGGCAACTTTGGGAATTAGCTGAATATACTCCAGTGTGTTTCATTTGCTCAGTGATGAATTTGTTTTACAGAAAACCTGATGGATTTGAGAACTAGCTTCCCTACCCCACTCCTTGACTTCAGACCAGCTACATCTCTCCATCTCCATCTGCTGTCTAGAGCGCTCATCAGGGCCCCTGCTTGGAATTGACATCGGATGGGTAATGGGTACAATGAGGGATCCAGTCATCTGCTGATAGCTTATCAGATGGACTGTGTCCTGTCCCATCAGTCTAGGGGAACACAAGAGGATGATGTTTATATGGGCCTCAGCAGTGAGGCATGACATTTCTTTTTAGTTTGTTTTATTTTTCCCCCCATGGAAATTTGTAGAGAATTTTTCCATCTTTCATTGTTACAGTCTTTTGGGGGCATCCATTATAAAGAGAAATGATGTGCATTGGTGGATTAAACAGCCCACAGACAGCCCTGGGATTTAAAATTATGATGCTAGTTCTGCTCATGGCTTGCTAGGGAACCTGGGCAAATTATTTAACCCTTTCCTATCTCTATCTTCTCCATGAAATGGGCCCCAAGCAAACAAAGCATTTTAATCCTCTGAATAACTATGAGGTCACTTAAACAGAGAAACTGGGCAAAGCTGATGAAAGCCGGCAGATGCCCAATGTATTTTTACCTCTGACTCAGAAACTGACACACCTCAATTCCTTTTCATCTTTGATAGCCATTAGAATCCATTCCTCTAATCCTTTCTGTCGCTTTTCTCTGGATCCTGGCCTGTGCCTGCATACCCTTCTAATGCACAGTTTATAAAACTGGATGCTGAAACTTACTAGAGGCCCAGCGCACGGCTAGTAAGAGGAAATATGTACTTGCCAGCCTTCGCTCGCCATGCACCTGTTAGTATAACCCATCATGGGGCTT